GTTCAAGCTATTTGAGACTAATCTGTCAAATTTTTTCTTGTTGCTATTATTTAGCCAATTTTAGCTTTCAGCTAGTTTTCTGCTGGTTTTATTGTTTTTGCAACAATTCTGCTAAACTTAATTTTTAGCTACCAGCTGTGTTTTAGCTTTCAGCAAATGTTTTGTTAATTTTAACTTTTAGCTACTGTTTGGCTAGTTTAGGCTTTTTTGTGACTAATATTTTAAATTTATCTTGTAGCTGTTTTGTTCATTTTAGCTTTCAGCTGCTGTTCTGCTAATGTTAGAGATTAACTTCTGTACTGCTACTTAATGTTAGTTTCAGCTACTGGTTTGTATTTTAGTTTCAGCAAATGTTTCTTCAGTTTAAGCTTTTAGCTACTCTTTTGTTGTTTTTTGCWTTTAGCTACTYTTTGCTACATATGTGATTTTAGCTCCAAGCTACCGTTCTGCTAGTTTTAAAATTTTGCTGCTGCTCTGTTTGCTTTTTWTTTAGCTCCTGTTTTGTTGGTTTGGGTTTATTGTGACATGTGTTTGAAGTGGCTGACAGGATGCAGGTCACCAGAACCGGACCAGACCGGACCGGTCTGAACACATCAGGAGCTGCGGGTCACTCACCCTGCAGGGTAGGCCAGGAGTCCGGTCCTCGGGTCGCAGGCCAGAGCTCGGTTCCCCGGTGATGTGATGCCGATCACCTTCTCCAACATCACCTGGAGGAAAACACATCAGACGTCAGTGTTTCCATGACAACTAATTGGTTAATTGACTAATTGAGTTARCATCAAAGTAAAGCTTCAAACGATCCAGATCAATGAGGACACAGATGAACAACAACTCACACCTGAACACTTGAGTTTTACTGTTCCTCAGACCACCACCATCATCATCATCATCCTCCTCCTCATTATCATCATCATCATCATCATCATCATCATCATCATCCTCATCATCTCTGAAGAGTTTTTTCCTCTGACAATCCTCCTGTTTCACTCCAGGAGGAAGCAGAGTTCCGGAGCAGCGATGTCTGAACAGATATTTGTCCAGACAGCACGGGTAGAACCGGTCCGGTGAGTCGAGCCGAAGCACCGAGTTTTACAGGAGCAGTGAGGAGTGACTGAATGAAGCTGGACAGGAGCCCCGGCCCCCGCGGGACAAAACGGACCAGAAACACCAGACTGACAGGATCTGATCCCTCATTAAAAATAAAAATAAAAACTCCCTGAACCGTGGCAGCATCTCCCAGCCACACGGGTTCATCCGGATGTTTCTGCAGGATTTCATGGAGGGACTGAGCTAAAGGAAAGTCTGATGTGTGCACTGCCAGGAGAAAAAAACTACACTAACCCAGTAAAAAAGTCAATCTGTCAAAATTTCTTGAAAAAATCTTGGTTTAAAATGTTATAAAACAAATTATTCTYATAGAAATACAAACTCCTTTTTCCAAATCACATTTTCTGTGTTTGAAAACTAAATTTAGAAATACATCATTTCTTTGGCCTTACTCTCCACTAATTCATAAACTGTTTCTTAAAATAAAAACATTTGGTCAAAATTCAGCAAATTAGATAAAAAAAGAAAAACTTGAGTAATAAATATATAAATAAATAAATAAATGAACACAGAAAGTCAACTAATGTCGAGAGAGAAGACTCAACTAAACAGAGAAACACTAAAACTATTTTACATTTAAAAATATTACCTTTCGGGACAGATAAAAAGCTAACGAGGGCCAGATTTGGCCCACAGGCCTTGAGTTTGACACGTGATTTAATGTATAACTGTTTTCAATGGAAACAATTTATTTTATTTATTTCTGAGTGTGAGCAGTCAGAGCGCAGGGATTAATAAAACTACAGGAAGATATCTGAAGCAAAAACTGATGAAAACATCAGAATAAAATACAAACGTATTAAAAACACTTTAATCGTCTTAAATAAATAAATAATGTGACCATGAGTAATAAGAAAT